ATTCGAAAAATGTTGTCAGCAACCGTTCCTGTTTGCGATCACGCTGATGCGTTTCAAATTTCCCGCACTTTCGGTGAAATATCGCTATCCTTCTCGTTCACACGCAAAGTCAATGAAAGAATCAAAGTAAGCTCAACTTCGTTATTACGTTCGTTTTACTTCGGATTATCGGTTAACTTCGGATCAATCGCAAGGATAAATACTAGTATACCTCGATACAAGGGTTCATAAGTTGGATTACAAACCGTACGAGATAAAACGATTTTTCATCCTATTTTCGCTTCGTCTCGTTGATGATACTGACGGCCATCTTGACATCCATATATTGGCGCAGATCGTATCTCTATTATCAACGGTAATATCTTAAACATCTAATAATCAGTATCGTCATAGTGGATCTAAATGTACAATTTTCTTAATCGACAACAACAAGTGTAGGTGTACGAAGACCCAAAAGCAATATCCCGGAACGAGAAAATTTACAATGATTTTGCACTATGCTATGTTCGAGTCTTCGTAGTCTACGGTAAAATCTTATCCATCGACGGAGGAAGAATTCCTGCACCACGACGTAATTGTTCATGGTGTTTGAAATTTTCAGCCTCATGTTCCTTGCAACTAGGAGCATCCATTTTACTATTTTCTCTTTTATTTTTTTTTCCTTTTTACTTTTGCTAACTATTCTCTGCTTCTCGATATCGTAATATCACGTTCGGTTAACTTCTGTTGACGAACCTCTTCCCTATACATAAAATGTCGCAAGGATATGAAAAGTGGATGCAGTCATGGTTAGTCGTGTATTGCAACCACTAAAGAATATCAGTGTGTGTCGGCTAATTTCCTCTTTCGGGACATCAAGTCGCGATAGTTCGTTTAAACTGGAGCAAGATCAAAGCAAAGGTAAGGTATTTTTCCTGGCTCCGCGGCTGATCGACATTGCATCGAGTGCTTGTACCTCGGTGTACAGTTGAATTAAACGCTATGGACTGAATTAGTCGAGTCGATAATGCAATTATTATTTGCTGAATGCGAAGCGAGAATCAATTATTAAAGTCAGAGGGAAGTGGGGGACATGAAGATGAGTCTAACATTAAGAACCAACGACACGGTGTCTCGACACAGGAATTTGATGTCATTTTGTGATCATGTATTTCGTATATCACACATATTCGTTCGTTTTATCGACTGCATTCCCGAGAAAAATGTTAATGTAACTCTATATCTCGGCATTTCTCCCAATTTCTCACGTAATGCATCATCTATATGCATAGACATAGATTAATATCGTGCCTAACTGAGCGGTTCCCAACGCATGTATGCAACATATATCAACCTTCGAACGTCTTATAGATACATACACATATCGTCGGATAATTTAACGGATTAGTATATAACCGGTATGCATGCATATATGCGTTATAATATACGAATCACGCTTAAAATTACTTATTGGGATTAATCGTCTTAATTAGAATAACGACTTGTTATTGTTTCTTGCCTTAGCGTTCACATTTCATACGATATCGCGAGTTCTGTCGAATATTTTTTTTTTTATTTTTTTTCCTCACTAATGTTACCGGCAATTCAGGAATTACGTTAAAATTATCTTTGGTAATAATATCTTAGACGTATTTATAACGTATATGTATATAATATATAATATATATATTATATATTATCGTTACTTTAAGTGTATGTATAATTTTCATAATATACCCCATACATCTTTAAATATACCTTAAAGCTTAAAATTCCGCCACTTCTTTTGTTTTTTTCATCCGAATTTTTCATCTACTCTCATACGCATACTTCTCACGTACATACTTAAAGCGCTAATTGAGTTATCAATTATCACACAGGAAACATGTTCCAAATAGAATCTGGAGAATAAACGTAGTTTGCAGGTCAGCAAAATACCATGATCAATACTATATAACTAGTTCGGTTTTGATACTTCTAATATTTACCAGCTCTCTATCCCGTTTCCACGGTATTCGTCCACTCGATTTCGAAGAACGGACGTCCCGTACGGCGAGCTAAGAGACTTTAAGCATGACTTCCGATAATACGACCGAACCTGATTCGTGGCTAGTATTTCTCATCGACAACCAAGCCTTCCCTGGCCCTCTTCCAATTCTCCTTCCCCTCTTCATCGCATTCCCGTCAAATGTAATCTTTATACTTTAACAACAGATGTTCATTATTAGAAACAGCTCATTCACAATGATGAATATACATATATAATCGCTCTTGATCGGTGCACTGGATACAAGTGTAATAATTCCTAATAGTACTTTATACCGTCAACGAATAATTCATCATCGTTATTTCATCATCATCATCATCATCATCATTGTCATCATCATCGTTATCCTTGTCTCTCTTTCTATTGGTACATTCTCGATCCGCCTTCCTTCTTTTACGCTCTCTCTCTCTCTCTTTCTCTCTGTCACTTTTCCTTTCCTCTTTCATTTTTTTTTTTTTTTCTTAAAAGTTAATAGTGTCGTCGACAATTAATCTATATTAAGTTTTTTTTCTCTTATCTCAATATGGCTCCGGGCGAGGACTCAAAAAATTAATAATAATAGTGTTAATGGTAATAATAATAATCGTAATAATATTAATGATAATAATAATAGTAATGGTAATTAATAGTAATAACAATAATTTTAATAATAATCACTAATGGTAATAATAGATCGCTCGTTAAGTCGATTAATAAATAGCAATAAAATTATTGAACATTTTTGGCAGCGCTTACAGTCGAAGTCGCCGCCCGTTCGGATCGCTTGATCTATAGCCTTTGTACTATCGTTTTGTCCACATAGTCAAGGTCGTTTGATCCTTTGCTACGCTTTCATCGAGAATTTAACGAGACCTTCTTTTTGCTTTCACCACTGTGGTTATCGATCGCTTATGCTATCCAGATCCATTATTTCGTGTAAACTCGTTTTCGCTTGCTAAACAGGATTATCGATTACCCCCGTCAATTACCCCCAAAGAAAGATCAGTTGTACGAGAATCGGTCAACTATATATCAATCGTTTAGCACATCGTATAACACGCGGATAAAATAACGCGAAATGCAACTGAACCTAAGTATTTGTATATAATAGACAACAGATCAGGTAATGGCAGTATAACGTTGGTAGTGAATGTGTAAGCGTTTACAAACAATTAACGAGGGAAAAGATACCTCGTCGTTCGATTAGAGATTAAATTCACGACGTAAGCCCCCCCATTGGTAATACGAACAAGTAAACCAGTCAGTGTCTAAGGATCCCAGATGCCAAGGGGCGACGACCATCGCGTAAACGCTGTCTTTCGAAAAACGAACAAGCTCTCGGAACAACCAGCTTTGCTTCTAAATTCAAGCCACAAAGACTGGAGATCAGAAGACCAACATTCCATTTCGTTTGCCTTAATTACGGTGCAGAGCTGCAAAGAAGTGCCTCGAAACGCTACCGTGAACAAAAGGTAGGCAACCTGCTTTGCCTAACGTCATCTCTGATACTCTTAAAATCTATAGTCGAAATCTTGACCAACGTTCCTGCCAGAGAATATTTCTTTACAGCTCTGCGTAGTACACATCATCGGTTAACCGGCGTAAAAAAATGAAAAGGAGAAAGACAAATAGAAAAATTGCGATTTACAAAGCCTAGGCTTAATGCGTAATAAATGCAAAGGACTGTCCCAGAGAAAATGGGAAGAAATTCGAAGTTAAGAGTAACGACAGAAGATACGCACTCTACACAAAACGAGGTAAATGAAATTCGTAGTTTTCAAATGAAGTATCGTCGAAAGAGAATATAATCCCTCTGATCTCCAGGCTGTATGATACAACCTATCGACTATACGATTGCGTGGACTAGCACTAGATATTATCATGCGGTACAATATAATCATAAATACATATTCCATACGGTGTTGTACGATTATCACTAGGCTGATTAAACTTTTCCCGTGCAAACTGCGCGCGCTGTTTCTCGACAAATCGAAATCCAACAAAATTTCAATATCTTCCGCTCTTATTTGCTTTGAATCTTGTATCTATGTACATTTATTAACGTTAATGGCGGTAACAGCGGAATTTATTATTTTTCGTTTACTTTACTTTTGCCAAGTGAACTTTCACCGATTCGAAGTTCTTTCCGCTTTCTAAAAGATTTGAGCAACACGAATAAAATTCAATCTTTTCACATTACATATATTTATATATATATAGGAACGAAAATAAAACAAAACGTATCGATTGCTTTCGTTCGTTTCGTATTAGCCTTTCGACAATGAAAGGTAATACTATACTTATTGTTTCATTTTCCTTGTCGTTTGATTAATTTCACTTTTATTTCATCGATACCTTCCATTCGACTAGTCGCCACTTTACGTTACCACCATTAATTTTGTCCACTCTATACAACACGGTATAATCTACCTCCGTACAGGCGGAACTTCAAATTAAAATCCAAAGGTGACCTGTATTTTACGTTAATCAAATTAGAAGCTTCACTCGTAATCGGTTCACGCCTCCTACTTTCAATCGGCATGTCATTCCTCTCGTGGAAATAATAAAACAGAAATCTATCAGAAAGGTAGTAAAAATTGCGTAGGATTTCCAATCAAAAGTTCCACCGCACGAAACCTTCGTAACAATGCAATCGTTTTTTAAAAACCAATTAATTAGTCTCGCATTTGTCTGGTTTCGACGAGTTCGTTGAGAAACTTGCCTGAAACAGAGCATCTCTTCGTCGACTTGCCTATTACCTTGCGTGTAAGCGTGTGCGCACGCGCACCTACATATGAATTTCGATTGTTCAGACATCCTTCACTTTTCATCCCGAAACGACGGAACTTTCGATCGAGATTCGCCGAGAGCCGCGTCCGAGAGCTTCTTCGTGGAATTCGAAATCAAAAGTTCCATCGTGTCGGGTGCACCGTACCGACGGGCATAAAGACACTAACATTTTGTTATTTTTTTTCTTTTTAATACGTCTACGTGGCACGAACTAAGGGTATCAATTATCCTCGGTGTACCCTACACGTTAGTGGTCTCGTTGGCTAGGCGAACACCGATAAGTTCGAGAAAAAAATAACAGAAAGAATGTTTGCACGTGCACGAATGCCCGCAACGAGACCATGAAATCAGCATGACGAAAAGCGAAAAATTCGCAAAAGGGGCAAAAAAGTAAGGGAAACTGTTACGCGCTCCAACTGATATCCCGAACGATATTTAGATCACGATGGTACGACCACTCCCCTTCACCCCCGATAGAAAGAAGTGATACCGCCACGGTTTTTGTGCAGAATTTTTCCGCTAAACTGTTTTTTGTGCATCCTGATACATACGCGCACATGCGTACGTATATATACATACATATACATATATAGATATATAGCTTGTATATAGCCAATTTCACTGGTCCGTTTTATCATCCTATGATAAAATGCTTTTGCCTGTGGAAGCGACGACGAGAACCGCGCGCTGCGAAACATACGATTATGAGAAATTTGTGTATATGCCGAGTGAAACGAACACGTATAACAATGTTTCGAAGAACGGCCCTTCATAATGATAGTGAGAAGCGCGACTGTGAAAAAACGACAGTAAACGTTACCGTGTGTACAATGAAGAGAATCACGACGAGGATGAAGATGATGAAAATGACTGTGAACCTCTGACAGATCTACGTTAAAACGACGAGAAAATACGCGGCTAGGGCGGTATCGTCGGCAGAGAAAACCGGAGGAAAGAAGGAGTGGTCACGATCCGCCAGCGAGATTGATTAAAAAAGAAATTTCTCTTATTCTCCTTCCTCCTATATTTTCTTGGACGCAGTTGGTAGTGATCTTGCAAAAGGTGGCAGATGCGATGCTTAGTCCACCATCAGTTCGAAGTGTACCGAGCCGCGCCTTTCAAATCTGTCATGGATGATATTCTGCGCCCAAGCTTTACATTCGATGTTGATCAACACACCGTCTGAAAATTCAAACACGATGTTTCAGTTTTATTCGACATTTTCGCGCTCGCTAACCGAGGCATAGTTTTCCATAGAAATACTTGACTTAACGAGTTTGTTACTTACATTTAGGCCTCTCGAAGAAGACAGCTACGAGGGGACTAAGGTAGCCAGGGGTATTTGTGAAAGGGAAGTAATATCCAGGGAAACCACGACGTGGAATGTATTGAATCGCGCCCATGTTTTCAACATCAGCGGGATTTTCACCGGAACACGACACCCACACGGTGTTCAATCTATTTTCGCTTTCTTCCTGTTTGATGTGATCTTGAAGATCGGATGGCATGTTAGACGGCAGGTTCTTCGTGTCATTGTAATATTTTGGTTGCCAGCCGAAGATCTAGGACATTGTAGTCTATTAATATCTGTTATTTACTTCCTAATTAATAACGAATCACACGAATCACATAGATAAATTCGCAAAAAGCGAAGAAAATGTTATTATTACTATCTACTATCTATTAACGTCTGAAACAGTTGAGCAATTAAGCTTTCCAGGTGCCACGAACCTTGGAATGCATGATTCCAGGTGCCACGTACCTTGTTCAACTTGAGGAAAATGCAAGGAGCAGACTTGTTGTAGCCATATTTATTTTTCTTCGTGCACTGTCCCCACGTCGATATATCTACGTCACAAACTTTGCTGGGAGGTGCTGCTTTACCATAGTCGCAAGGCACTCTCTTCTTCTCGTTTGACGGGGAAGCAGGTTTCTGATATTCTGAACAACATAAAAATTTGTGTCTCGTACAATTATCCGAATCGATCATACACGGAATAGTGTCTGTTTAATCGCGAATCTGATAAATATAATTTTCTATTTCATATAATTTTATCGTATTACATGTATATTAAAAATGCCGTTTAATTGCGTGTAATTACATGTTCCATATTTAATGTAGGAATAAAAATAAAGACACTGAAACTTTGATCCAAAGATTGGCCTCACCTTGACCGGATTTAACGGGTTCCCTGACGTAACTGCCTCGTTAGGACAAAGACAATTTTCTCGCTTATCGGTTAATATTAGCCTTATAACACATCTATGAAAATAATATTGCTCGATGTATTTTTACTTCGTATCTAAATTATTAAATTTACAGGACAACTTCAGTATCCGTGCCTAACTGTTCAAAGTAAAATTTACATTTATACATTTACATTTCTACAGATACACAATTGGCTTAATATAACTTATTTTTAATATACATGTTAATCAATAATTAATCTTTCATAATTATCTCGTAAATTTGAAAAATCTAATATCGAAGCTCAATTTTGTGCGAAGCAAATTACTTAGAATACGATATAATTTAGTGTATACCTTTCCGAAGATTACAGTTTTTAAACTGTAAAATATTTTATGTTCTATTTTTATTTATTTACATTGAGAAAGCTGAGACTTTTTCAACGGAAACTAATTACCTTCAAGGAACTTATCCAATTCTCTGGTCCAATGTAAGAAATTGCCTTCGTCGCTGGCTTTGTACCAGATCAAGGTACTGTCGACGTTGCTTTCAGGAGGCATGGGCCTGAAACCAAGTCCGGGGTTGCTACCGATCAAGGAATTCTCCAATTGCCATTTCGGTGCATTCGGGTCTAACGTCTGATAGAAAACAGTCAGCATCGCTCCGAAAAAACCGGTCAGAACCGCATAGAAAATAACGTAGAATAACAAGATTTTGGCTGCAAGAAAGAGAAAGAAATTATTGTTTTCTTAAGAATTAAAATTACGTACAAATTAAAAATGCAAAAATGCATATCAATTTTCTTATCTTTCGTTATTCGCGTTTCTTTATAGCGCGATTAGGCTCTGTAGAAACGAGTAAACTGGTATATTCGAGATAAGTAGTATGGGTACGAAAAAATCCGCGACATGAATTGAAAAACAACTCGAAATACACAGATCTCGGGTGTTTTAACCAATTACCAGCGAGGCAATTGTTTTATTGCAATAATTCCTTTTGCGGATACGCACAGCAACTGAAGTCTACAACATCGAGACAATTATGATCCGAGGTCTAATTGGCCTGAATTGGTATTGAGTAAGTGATGCTGCGAATATTTATTTCGAGCAATTTATCCTTAAAGAATCACAACGTTTACAATTGCATTATATCGTAAACGATATATCGATGAAACGCTATTGACATAGCTAGTCATTTTTTATCGGATCAGCAATATACTTCGATATTTTACGAATAACTATAATTATGTTATATGTGTGATAAAATGTTATAATAACGCGAATATTTTAATTGTTAATTTAAAAAAATTTTTAAATAACGTAAATAATTTTATCGTGATATTTGCCTGCGACGTAAGACACCCCATGATGTCAAGTATGAGGATACATAATGGCGTCCTTGTAATTAAACAATTTTCGAACCTTGAGGTGAGTGTCATTTTATATATTTAACGACTACCCACTTAGCGTGTCTATTTCTGCAATCTTCGACATCGAAATTATTTAATTTGGGAAATTTGCCTACAACGTTAAGTATGGTTGAAGTTTCGCTTGGCACTGCACCAAATTTTGATATAAAATACAATGAAGCATTTAAATATTTGTATATGCAACGAAAAAATGGAATATTCTTTTTATAGTACTCATCTAACATTATTATATTTATTATTTACCATACCTGTAAAGATAAAAATGAATTTCATGTAAAAACAATTATATACATATAGGTTGGATTTGTAATATAACTGTTCCGACTCGACATACTCATATATCTCGTTTATTATATTTTTAAATTTACGATTAAGGATATTTATTTTCCTGTGTATAATAGTAAGTATTAAACTGAAATATTTAACGTCTATGCCTTCGGTATCCGTAGAGTCAAATTTCATACAGAGACTGAAACGACATCTGATGGAAGAATCTATGCACTAACGATTATGTTACAGTTCCATTTCGTAGTAGAAGAAAAGCAGAGTAGGTTATTGATCTCTGTGAACATGACTCCCTACATTGTGTCGATATTCGCTTCGTAGTAGTACGTGTTGCTAAATTAAAAATGATCATCGTCGAGTCAGCCTCGTTTAAGAAAGATTTCCATAATTTTCCATTTGTATTTATTGTGTGTCGCTCTGACGTTACGTATGCACTAACCTAAAACGAATGTTTTGATTCTTTGACAGATAGTTTATCAGCGTGGTTTTTCCAGATACAACTTTTCCTAGTCACTGTACCATTTATAAATTATACTCAATGGAAAAGCTCAACGAACAATCTAATTTATTTAAAAGTTCTTTTATTCGTTTAGATTTGTAATATGTTTATTATATATATTTGAAACAAAGTGTATATAACTAATCTTTATTCGTATAAATTTCTGTATATTAATTAGAATATTGTCAACAGTTTTATCAAAAATTGTTAAGTTTAAATAAGAATTTGACATTTTGTTTGATATTCGTGTAATTTGTTTCTTACTATTTTAGACTGCAACTCTTCTACTTTGAAACTTTGGACAGAGTGCACACAATGCCCTCGTCGCAAATCGATTCGTTCGGATAAAAATTTGACAAAGGAATCTTATTATCTGGCACAAGCTTGCCTGCCTGTTACCCTGTTTTCGGACCGAAAGTAACATTGGTAAATACTACAAAGACAGCCATTTTCCGTACAGAAATTCGAACCTAGGTGCAACAATATCAATGACCTACTTCATGAAAGAACCGTGGTGGCTTCTAAGTTTGTGGCGCCGTCGCGTTCCGCATACGAAGTGATCGATATCTCAAAAAAACCGTGAAAATGTTACGTTACTACAGCAACCGCAATGGCGAGCCATATTTGAACGAAAATGTAATATCGTTCATTTTTTTTATTCCAAAATTCGATTAAGCATTATACACAGTCTCATCCGCCGAATACGTGCCCTCTGGTTCCACTTATTTCGAACTATATATATACAACGATATTATTTTAATACTTAATTTATGATCTATTAAAAATATATTTACCAATAAAATGAATTCTCAATAAATTGACGAACTGAGAATTTTATTTCGGCGTATAAATATTTTCCATGAAGTCTGTATTTTTGCTTAACGTTATTGTTGTTATATAATTTATTTAAATAATCGTTTGCTACCGTATTAAAGTGCATTCGTGTGAAATCAGAAATTATAAATAAAATTATAATTTATATTAGTCTTTATGTCTTAATATATATTAATCTTTAGATCATAATTCCATCTATATATTATTCATCACAAATTTCTTCAATGCAAAATTGGAAACATCACTCATATCGTTAAAAAATTAGTACAACTTGACATGTTAATCTTGCATCATTTAAAAAATAGTGAAAATCCCAATAATAATATGAATATCGACAAAGGATACTGATAAAGTGACCATAAATCATAAACTAATTTATATCTAAAAAGGTAAATGCTTGTTACAACGAAAAGATTAATTAACCATTTTTCGAAATTTTGAACAAACATATTTATATATATATTTTCTGTTTTTGACTCGTAGGTTTTTCAAGAAAATTCGTTAAAAGATGAAATTGACTAAAGGAATAAACGAACCGTATAAAATCAGAGCAAGCTATTTCTGCGGAATGGTAAGACCGTTGGATTGTATTGATTTTGGTGGAAGTCGATCAACCTCAAGAGAAGAAGAGGGGAAAAAAGACGGTAGTAGAAGATAGGAAGAACGTTGTCCGCAAAGGCGAATAGATAAGCTGCTTTAAGTGTGCTAACACAATAACTCAAGGACCGAGCGAATTGCTTTGTTAATGCTGCAGGAAAATTGTAAATTCGTTGAACGTCAAGAAGTACGAGGCAAAGATTTCTCAAATTTATATATCACGCTTTAACGAGCGATAATAGCAAGAACAAATCAACATATAATACGATATTTGCTCCTGATACCGAAGCTTCTTTGATTATAAAAAGATTTGAACGACCACCAGTTTGAATCTCGAATTTTCGAACAGCGAGATAATTATATGACTCATCTCTGTCCAAGTTGAATTAAACGCGATAGAAGTCGTCAAAATTGATTAAGTTATTCCTCGAAGAAATGCATTTAAAAAATGAAAAAACGGTACATTAAGCCGATCGAAGAAATTACTAAGTTCATTTTCACAGAATTTATAGAAATAAATGCGAAAGAATTATTCAATGATCTGTGCAACAATTTTATTACAGATTCAGTTTCTGACTAAAATTTAAGTAGGATGTATAGGGGTGAGAAAGTAGGTGTCATATAAAGTAAATTTAAGAGAAAAGAGAAAGCAGAATATTTAATTATATCGAATACAGAATGAAAGAGGGTAAAATTTAGCTATCTATATAAAGTATTAATTTTTTGACATTGAAACGATATTATTATACATAAATGTACGTGCATACTAATCTATTATCGTTAACCGGTAATAAGCTTCTAATTCTGCGGTGTATGATAAACCTAATTTCTCAATCTCTATTACATTTCTCTCTCATCTAGTATTTCCAATTTTAACCAACTTCCTTATTTTAGGACTTATGCAGAAGTCCTAATTCTACACGATAATAGACGAAATTAAAATTCCGTATCGATCGATTAGCCATAAAATGTTCACTCGTCGGATAATCGTGTGTGATCGCGATTACCACCCTAACAAACCGATCTTATCCAGTATTTTGTAATATCCGATAACTATCGGCCAAATCTTTGCGCAATTGTATTACATAACACGACAGTATGGAGAGTCCGCTTGTATACGTCATTGGGCAGTGTCACATAGCATTGTCATGATCGTTATAAATGTATCAAACACGAAATCCCGTATCAGGGATATATTTCTGTTACATAATTAAGCAATAATCTCGCGAAAGAACAAATCGTATATTATACTTTCCATGTACTAATTAGTTCTTCGGATATTTTGATTTCTTTGAACCCTAACTCTAAATAGAAGTAGAAATAGATATATAAATCCTCTTTTCGTATTGAACACGACTGCTAAATTTTTCGCTATTTATAGAGAAATAAGAGTTTATAGGACTCGAAGATCAGGATTACTTCCTCACCCCATCTCCTCTTGTAGTCAAACTAGAGACGATAAAAATAGGACGATGAAAATGCTGAGGTTACCGCCCTTCCGTCCATTTCTTTTCAAATTTCGATTGAGAACCTTGAAATTCCAACGGATAAAAAAGGCATTACGAAGACGAAAAGAAACCAGCGTTATCAGAACAGGATACGTGTGGCTCTTGATAAAACGAAAGACCTGTAATTTATCTCTCTTTTTCGTTTCCGATATAATGTTTTCTCTGTAAGTCAAAGCATCGAAGAACGACATATGCCCATCTTATTAGAACATCATAGAGGAACCTCTGTTTCATCGAAAGAGAAGCGAATAACGGTATTCCAAGTTATTTTTCCTTTTTATTCGCGGTATTTACGATACGGATAAGCGTTTATAGCTGATCCAACGCGATCTCGAGATTTTCGAAGAGAAAATAGATGAAAGAAGTTAACGTGACCATTTGACGGTGCTAGCGTTACCAAACAGAAATCGATTAAACTACGATACGAACGTTTTTACTCATTTGAATGTAGCACGAAAGCCCTTTCTAGATATATGGCACCGCCAATGATCTGCAGTGCGCGTGTACATTGCGACGCTTTACGTCAGGAACGATGGGGTTACGATTAAATGCCAATCGGATGTTCAAGCTCTGACCTTTCGAGTGAATATGTTTCAAAGAATCTTCTGAAAGAATCATTAACCGTGTGAGGAACGATATATCGGATAACTTCAGCGGATCGCCTATACATCGAATTTTACGTTACAGCTAGTCTGCCTTAAACAACAGGGATTCTACTTACGACTGTCTTAAGGGAAAACTGTAGGAACACGACAGAGATATATATTATATCCGTTAAAAATTGCGTAACCAAGTCACTCGGGATAACATGAAACTCGCGAATATACGCGTAAACTCGCTGTAAACGTAAGCGTAAACTTCGAGTCTCTGTATAAATCGCGAATCTCTGTATAAAGGAGAAAGAAAGTATCTTTTGTAGTGAGAACTTACCCCAACTAGCGCCTGTGCGCCCCAGGAACTGTCCAGTCTCGGAGTTCCATAAAAAGACCTTAAAACCCTCCCATTTGCTAAGCTTCGGCGGCGGAGAATAAAACTGCTCGACTTTTTTATCCTCCATTCCGATCGGCTAAACGAAAGATGGAGGGAGTTTCAATCTCAATCTCTCCCGCGTATCACCACGAACGAACGTCGACGTGCGAATCCCTTTCTCGGCCGGTTCTGCTGCTCCTCCTGCTGATCTTGTTCTTCGTCTTCTGGTGGAACAGTGCCGCGATCGAACAGTTCCGCGGGCGAGGACGCAAAGGAAGGAAGGGTCGATTCGTGCCCTCGTCTGGAGCTACTGTTCTCGGGCGCTCTCGTCCGGCCAAGGGATGAATATTGAGCGATCGAACCCAGGCTGGCCCGAGCTTTTCAGGCCGTCCCCTCCTTCTCTCGTTCTCGTTTCGACTCCCTTCCTCTCTTTC